TTTTTTTTTTTTTTTTTTGTTAACCATAGTTAATTTTTTGAAAAAAGTGGTATGGTTAATTGTTAGTGGGAGTTTAAGTTTATATTAAAATAATATTTAAAATAAAATAATTAAAGTTGATTTGATGTAAAAATAAGAGAGAGATGATGTGAAATGATGGTTAGTTAAAACTATATGAGTGGATGAATAGTGAATTAAAATTGATGTGATGTGTAAAGATGATTGATTAATATTATTTAATTATATGGATAAAATTGAGGATTATGGAGTTGATTTAAATTTGAGTTTTGATTTTTTTTTTATTGAATTTAGATCTCCAATCACTTCACTAATCACCTCATGAATAATTAATCTCCACTTGCTTGGTTTCCAAATTACATTGTTTTCTCAACTTGTAGGTCAAAGTATGAACATCAAGAGTTTCTAAAACCGAGCCTGCGAATTTTGTCTTCTTCCGAAAAGGCTTCTTTACGAGCAAGTCTGTCTAGGAAGAATGTGGACAGTATTCGAAGTTCAAGCTCCAACTCAGTATGTGTTTATTCACCAGGATTAATTGTAGTCATAATTTCAAACAAAACCCATTCATTTTTCATGATCACAAGTAGCTCATTTGCATTTATTTTCCTTCTACGAATCCCAACCTCTAAATGAGATACTACTTCTTGAGTAAACAAAAACTTTAAACTTAAAAGGTCTGTTATTTCAAAACGTATCCAGGTGCGTTACTTGTAATTGAGCTAAACACCGGGTGTATTTTTGTAATTATGAATGTGGTTTTGGATTATTATCTTAGACGAGTGTACCTAAAAAAGGTGAATTTCGTGCACAGAATGGAACGGCAAAAATTGTTGGGACATTAAAGGTTAAAGTGCTGAAGGGCACGAATTTAGCTGTACGAGACATGCTATCGAGTGATTCGTATATTATCTTGACTCTTGGAGAACAGGTTAGTATCTTTTGTCCTTTTATTTTCCACTTCTCAAGGAAGGGTTTTGTGTGTGTTTGTTTTTATCTATTTTATCATATCAACTAGTTTTTCTGCCATAAGCTATCTCGAAATTCACATATAAGCTATCAACTAATTTATCACCTATCAAAACTAGAACATAGTATGAATTTCGAGTTTATAGTTGATAGCTTATGATGAAAAGCTAGTTTATATGATAAAAGTGTTTGGTAAAATTAGATGATAAGATAGATGAAATAAAATTTTCAATGGGCTTATTTGAACAAGGAAGCTTATGAGTGAAAGTCGAGTTTTTAAAAAGAAAACCTCGTCCTACCGAACCAAGTTTATTGAATACAGGAAACTTATAAGTTAACCAAATAAGCTATAAACTTGCTTATGATGTTTGTCAAACACACTCTTCATTCATTCAATCTTTTGAACTAAAAAGTGGAAATAATTATTTGAAACGGGAAATTCGAATCCAAGGGGGGAGTTTAGAGAAACTAATATAACATCCGAGGATTTAGCACCATTCCTTGTGTTGTCTTGGCTCTTTGTCTTCCTAGCATGTGAAAACGAGCGTCGTAAAGAGCAACTTGAATCCTGTCTGGAACGAGGAACTCAAGCTCGATGTCCCGGAAAACTATTGCTCAATAAAACTGGTATAAACAATCGTGTGAGCAACACAACAATTCACTATTCAAAATGGCCTTCTTTTTTTTTTTCTTCTTCTTATCATTATTACTTTCGTAACACAGAAAGTATATGATCACGACATGTTTTCTGCTGACGACATAATGGGTGAGGCGGAGATAGACATACAGCCGATGATGACATCAGCAATGGCGTTTGGTGACCCGGGCATGTTTGGGGACATGCAAATCGGTAAATGGCTCAAATCTTACGATAACGCCCTTATAGAGGATGCCACGGTAAATATTGTCGATGGGAAAGTGAAGCAAGAGCTTTGGCTGAGGCTACAGAATGTGGAGTCGGGTGAGGTCGAGCTCGAGCTCGAGTGGGTCCCGCTTTCGCAATAGTGTACGACTCGATTGTATATAATTTTGTTTCAAATGTTATTTGTTCTCCCTACCCATGTGGACCAATTTTTGTCAACTCTAATTTATATATTATCCACGCATTGAATGTGCTCATATATTAAATGCTATCCTCTTACCATTGAAGTTAGTAAATATACTCGTGTATATAATAATACTTTTGTAAATACTTGATCGATTCATGGTGGACACAAAAAATCTATAATTTCATCCTTTATGCAGTATACATACCTCATAAGATAATTGTTGATATAATTTTTTTACAATTTTATTAATCAAAATTCAACTCAAATTTAATTTAATATAACTTTCATCAATATTATCAATATAAACTAAATAATATCAATCAACCAGTCACACACTACATCAATTTTAATTCACTGTTTATCAACTCACATAATTTTAACTACATATCATTTTCGATAATACATTTCATGCTTTCACGTCGCATTAACTTAAATTATTATATTTTAAAATTATTTAAATAGAAATTCAAAATCTCACTCAAACATTTAATCGGTTTTTTTTTTTTTTTTTTTTTAAAAAAAAGTTTAACTCAATTTATCCACGATCAAATTTATTGGATGTTTCTTAAAATTCCAAGTCGATTTCTCGTGCTGCAAACAAATTAATTTCTCGTTTACTATTTCTCCACACTTTTTTT